ACACACACACACACACCACCCACACACACCACACACACACACACACACCCACACCACCCATACACACACCCACACACCCCCCACCCACACACACACACACCGAACACCCCCACCCACACACACGCCCACACACACCATCCAAACACACACACAACGACCCCCTCACCCACCCACACACCAACCCCCCACCCACACAGACCCACCCACACACACACACAAACAAACCCCCCACCCATACACACCCACACCCACCCACACACCACATAAACACACACACCGAACCCCCCACCCACACACACACACCGACCCCCTCACCCACACACCCACCCACACACCCCCAAAAACACACACACCGACCCCCCACCCACACACACCCACCCACACACCACAAACACACACACACGACCCCCCACCCACCCACACACCACCCAAACACACACACCGACCCCCTCACCCACCCACACACCACTAAAACACCCACACACCACCCACCACCACACACCACCCAACACACACACACCACCCAAACACACACACACACACCCAACCCCCCACCCACACACCCACACACCCACACACACACCCCCACATACACACTCACACAGAACAAAAAAATGACACACATACACAAAAACTGACACACAAACACATTTAAAATGTTTGCTATCCGGTGTCGCCCAGAGGAGGATGGGTTCCCCTTCTGAGTCTTGGTTCCTCTCAAGGTTTCTTCCTGTTGCTCTTAGGGAGTTTTTCCTTGCCACTGTCGCCACTGGCTTGCTCATGGGGGCTCGGACCCGGATTTCTTTCTGTAATGCTGATTTTTCTGTAAAGCTTTCTTAAAGAAGACATTGCACACACACACGCACACACACACACACACACACACACACACACACACACACACACACACACACACACACACACAAAAAAAGCATCAATAAAAAATAAAAAATTAAAAATATCTTGCAGCCTCTTTATTCTTTATTGTTTCTATAATCCATTTTTCAGACATTTTACTGAATAACCTACTGAGAGAACACAGGGTTTATTAGAGGTGTGATTTATCTAAAGGGTCCATATCATAGAAAAGCTTTTTCCTCACTTTTGAAAAATAAATTTGTTTGATGTTGTTTATAAACACTGCTGCAGTTTCAAACGTCCAGCAGTCCATACAGTCGGCAGCAGTTTAGCCCCACCCATTCAAAACTGAATTGAACCAATCACAACAGAGATTATATATATATATATATATATATATATATATATATATATATATATATATATATATATTAAATTTATAGCGTAATGTTGACGGAACACAAAAGCTGGAACTTGTAAGTGGGGAAGCGCAGCGCCTGGACAGTCTGTGGCAGCACATAACAAAAACACCACTGGATGAGTGAGAAATCCGACCGGCTCCCTCTGTATTAAAGCCAGGTTAGGTCAGGAGTCTCAACCCAAATGATAAGAAGAGCCATTTTGTCCTTTCAACAAAAATCGAACCACCTTGGGAGCCACAACATTTAATGTCCCGTATGTGTCAGTGTGTGTGAATGTCCTAGTATAAGTTAGGTTAAACAATATGAACGAAAACGCGGACTTACTTTGCTCTGCTTTAAGCTTTAGCTTTAGCCGTTTTCCTCCAATTTCCGCCAGAAAACTTTTCTTCAGAAGTTGATCAGTTTCTTGTAAAATGTCTCTCAACGTTCAACTGTTTTACGAGGCTGAAGTCGCTTCTCATTCTACAGCTTCTTGTTCGAATTTTCCACCTTGTTCCAAAGAGAAGCGACTTCAGCTTCGCAACTTTTTAGTGTTTGACAGTCTCTCGTTGCAGATTTAACGTACCAGGAAACCAACTGTGCTGCTTATGAATGTGAATAACGCATCGTTGCTATGTGACCTGCAGTCTGCAAACCAATTCTCAGTCGTTGAGAAACAGGGCTTTAACGCTATGTTGCACATCCCGTCTCGAAGATATTTTACTGACACAGAGATCCCCCTCCTCTCTACAACAAGACCCAAACCGAAGTTATGAAGTCACTAAAGAAAGCGAGTAGAATAGCTGTAACGTGCTGTGTGGACACCCATTGCCACTGGATCTTATTTCACCGTAACTGCGCATTTCATCGCAAATGAGTGGCAGCAGCGTCTCATGTGCTCCAAACAAGAGTATTGAATGAGAGCCTTCTAGTTCACTTGCCACATCACTTCCATTTGATTTATTAATAAAAGATATTGGAAGTAAATTCATTATGGATCACAGTCCTGACACAGTGAGAAAATAGAAATCCTGTATAGAAAAAAAAGATGCATCGATAATCGTTTTATAATCGCATCGCAGCCTCTGAATCGTAATCGAATCGTGAGGTACCTAGAGATTCCCACCCCTAATATAAACATAAATATATATATATATATATATATATATATACATACAAACTGTTACTAAAGGGTTCTTTGATTAAAGCATTAGTTAAATGTTCATACTTGCTGATTTGTAGACCAGTATTGTAAAGTTTTACCAACAACTATATTAAAAAACATCTGTTCTTCAGATTACACTCATTTACTTGTTTGTACAAAGATTCCAGACACATTTCCCAGGTTATATTGATTTTTAACACACTGAGCTGAAGGTCTGCACTGAAAAGAAAACCAATATAATATAATATAATATAATATAATATAATGTCATATAATATAATATAATATAATGTGATTTTGTATAATTTGATATAAAGAAGAATTGTTTGTTGTATGTTAAGAACTGAATGAATGTGAATTAGAGCAGCTGTGGTACAGAGTGAGGTAGTGATGTCATGGGTTTTAGCTCTGAGCTGAGGAGCACAAACCACATCTGAACACCTGTTACTTCACACAAACATGATTAAAGCTGCAGAACTGAGTGAAACACACTTTTCTAAACACTGTAAACTTCCTCATATTTATCTGTCTGACTCTCAGGAGCTTCACTGCACTGATAAGAAGTGTTACTGTGCATTAGTGTCTTTGATTTACTGTCCCAAACCACAGAACCACTAAAAGAAACACAGAATCACTAAAGAAACCACAGAAAGAATAAAGGAACCACAGAACCAATAAAGGAAACACAGAACCACAAAAGGAACCACAGAACCAATAAAGGAACCACAGAACCACTAAAGGAACCACATAACCACTACAGGAACCCCAGAACCAATAAAAGAACCACAAAGGAACCACAGAACCAGGCTGAAACTCAGAGTTGAAGATATGGGTTTTAATATTCAAAATAACTTGTGTGTTACAGTTTTTTTTAACCACAGTCCAAAACTAGACACTGTGTTCAACAGCTGGATGAAACACCATCATCTCCCAGTCTCAGACAGCTTTAACTGGAACTGCACAGCTGAAGACTGGAAATATGGAGGAGACTCCAGAGAAAGTTCTAGTCTGACAGAATCAGCAGAACTTCTCAGGATGATCGTTTAACTCAGAGCTTCATGATGTAACTGTGAGCAGTAAATAATTCAACATTTTTAAACCTAAAAGTATTTTCTGATAATTTAATGGAAACTTGATGCTTTCATGCTTTAAATCATTAGAAATGAAGATGAACAACATGAACATACAGTTTAAGTCTGAAAATTAGTTTAAGTTTATTAATTAAATATTTGAACATGATTCATTTAATTCATTTTAATCATTTTTCTTGCATTTACAGTACATTTCTGAAATATATTGCTTGGTTAATTTTTAAAATGTATTAATTTTTTTCTATATTTCTGTTTTTTAATGTGCTTTGAAATATTTTCTGACTTAAAAAGGTTTTATTGTAGAAAAATGAACCTCATTTATGATGTTTAACAGGTGTGATGATCAGTGGTGCTGAGTTTTTACCTTCATCATTGTTAGAGGGGTTGAAGTACGGATAGAGTTTCTCAGTGAAAGACTGACCAGTGAAAGAATAGATATGAGACCTGACCTCAACATCATAGAAGGAGACCAGACCCTCCTCATAATCCACAAACACCCCCACCTTCTGGAGAGCCTGTCTCAGGGAGAGGAGGACATCAGGAGAGTCCAGAGCTTTATATTCAAGTCAAGTCAAGTCAAATTTATTTATATAGCGCCTTTTACAACAGATGTTGTCACAAAGCAGCTTTACAAAGAACCCGGGTCCACGCCCCCAGTGAGCAAGCCTTGGCGACAGTGGCAAGGAAAAACTCCCTCAAAAGGAGGAAGAAACCTTGAGAGGAACCAGACTCAAAAGGGGAACCCATCCTCCTCTGGTCGACACCGGATAAGAGGACAGACACAAAACAGTATAGTGGATACAGTTTAACACCACTGTGCAGTGCACTGGCCGCATCTCAGGTCAGACCCTCTTAGGACAGGCAGCCGCTCAGCTCAGGGAAAGAGAGGGGAAGGGGGAAGGGGGGGGTAGAGGGGAGGGGGGATGAGAGGGACATAGTTAGAAAAACAAATTAACCAAAAGCTCGACTAAACAGGTAAGTTTTTAGCCTAGACTTAAAGATAGAGGCTGTGTCTGAGTCCCGAACACAGACTGGTAGGCTATTCCAAAGCTGGGGGGCTTTGTATGAAAAGGCCCCTCCCCCTGACGTAACTTTATTTATTCTGGGTACTAATAATGAGCCCGCACCTTGTGATCTAAGTGGGCGTGTCGGTTGATAATAGGAAATAAGGTCACTGAGGTACTGAGGATCAAGGCCATTCAAAGCTTTATACGTCAGTAGAAGAATTTTGTACTCAATGCGGAATTTAACTGGCAACCAATGTAAGGTACACAAAATTAAATTTTACAAAAAAAACAGAGCTCTCCTCAGAGTCTCCACCCTAAGATGAGTGTTAATCCTGACGTCAGTCCAGTTCTTGGTGTGTGGGGGGCTGCAGAGGGACGGGTAAACCTACAGTCCAGCAGGAGAGAGGAGAAACCCCTCAGCATGGGGAGTGCTGTCCTGTGATGGACTGCATTACTATTGAGAAACAGAGGGACTCTGACCTGTAGGAGGTGGAGGTGATGAAATGACCCTGGTCGCCCGGCCGGGAATCGAACCCAGGCCATTCTTGCTGTGAGGCGACAGCGCTACCCACTGCGCCACCGTGCCGCCTATGAGAAAACAATAGTAGTAATAATGACATCATAAATGTAGCACCTTTATTTTTTATAAGTATATTTTTTATAAGTACTCAAAGTGCTAAAGTACTCAATTGTGTACCAGCTATACTTCGTCTGGCCATTTTTGGGTAACAAACAGTGAACAGTGCTTTACAATAATCTAAATGAAAGAAAAACATGAGTCAGTGTTTTAGCATCATGCAGTGTGAGAAAAGGCCTGTTGGGAATGTTTCCAAAGTTCTACTAATGCTGTCAATATAGGACCTACAACAGAGTGGTCAGAGTGAAAAACAGCACCCAGGTCTTGCACATTAAACTATATCATACTTTGCTCATTAGCCTGATGCTAAATTTCATGCCCAAGAACCCAGGATTGATTACGCCACCCCTGAGTGCAACAGAAATGTAAAGCAGCATGTAGTCTATGGCTGTGGAGTTGACTCCATGTTGATAATAACTAATAACAGAGTTGAATAGCATGTATAAGAAAAATGAAAGTGTCCCCACCATAGACCCTTGAGGTACTCCACAGGTAGTCCACAGTAAATGTCATACTTTGCAGATGCAAATGTAGCACTGTCAGTTATATTTGTGTAAAACCATTTCAGAACCTTTCTAGACATTCCAATCTAGTTTTTAAGTCGGTCCAACATCAGTTATCTACAGTATCAAATGCATCTAATGCACTGTGAGGTCCACGAGGAAAAAGACTGATGATTTGTTATGATTAGTATTCTGAGTTTTCTGAGTTGAAATTAATTGTAAATATTATATGCAGTTTGACCAACTAATTTTCTTTCTGTGTCATTGTGAACACCTACATAGTAAATATTCAGAGAGATTCAGTTCAGACTCACTTTATTGAGCTCAGCAGAGTGACTGATTTCCTCAATCTTCTTCAGTCAGTCCTGGATCATCTGCTGAACTTCTGCCTGTGTTGTTCCAATTTGAATCTAAGATAAAAAGACAAATTATAAGCCCTCATTCATATAAGAATTTTTAATGCAACAGCAGGAGACAGGATTAATAATTCTGTCTAAACGTCTCTCACCTTCTTCTCTCCACTCTCCTCCTCTATAGGAACAGTGCTGTCTTGTGGTCTCCTTCAGTGCAGGACTGACACACACTCGTCTGGTCATCTCTACAGAACAGCTCCAGGGGTCTCTCATGTTTCTGGCAGATGTAGTCCTCCAGGTTCTCCACAGGGTCCATCAGTTTGTGCTTCTTGAGTTTAATTGCAGTTTTATGAGGCATCAGATGAGTCTCACAGTAAGATACTCCACAGTCCAGACAGGACTTTACAGCCTCCAGCTTTTCATCACTGCAGGAGTCACACAGAACCTTTTTAGGTTTGGAGGGTCGTTTCTCTGGAGCTCTGCTGGATTTGACCTGAACTGACTTCTTGAACTGAGCAGCCAGTCCAGAGATGAACGTGTTCACAGACAGTTCAGGCATTCTGGAGAATTCTGCCTTACAAACTGGACACTGGCAGCGTGAACTGCTGTCCCAGCACTCTTTGAGACAGACCATGCAGAAGTTGTGTCCACATGGAGTCGAGACTGGATCAGTGAACACATCCAGACAGATAGAGCACTGGAGCTGATCTTCAGACAGGAGACTGCTGGAGGAAGACATGACTGACAGAGGAGACACAGAGACACCATGAGGGAGATTTGAGACCAAAGAAAACTTCCTACATTCTTTATGACAATTCTTAGTCAAAACAATAATGATGTGAAGCCGTATTCTCATGAAGTATGTACTCATCTTAAATCAGTCACATTAGTCTGACTGATCAGATTCACATTCTACCTGTTAATCATGAATCTGTAGCTGAACAAATGATCACAGCTTCAAAAGTAAATACTACTAACAGACTTACAGCATTTAAAATGTAATAAAATAACAGACAAATCACGAACAACAGTGATGGTAGAAATGATCTGAACATCTGGATGTATTTTCAGTAACAGACAGTAAGAAACTTAGACACATTACCACTTTCACTTTCTCTCCTTTGGTCTGCTTTTCTGCTTCTTCAGAGTTGATCTGTAGAGTTTAACTGAGTTTCCTGACTGGAGAACCTTCAAACTGGAAACTGTGTCCTGCTGGAAGAACTGAATTCTGTTTATGAAGCAGCTCTGCATGAGTTTCGTTTCTCCTGAGTGACGTCATGAGGCCACTCCCATGTATGCATGGTGATAGTTTGTTGTACTTGCAGGTTTTGGCCAGCAGGTGGCAGATATTCACCAACTCAATTACAGCATCTCAATATGCAGCTTTTGCTCAACACATCAAACAGTTGTGTAGTTAGTTGTGCTGCTGGTCAGCTGGAATAAAAACATGACTGATGACCCCATTAAAGGCTATTAAAGTTATGTTGGTGGTCTGAGGATCTTATTTTGATCTAAAATGACTGAAAGTTAATAGTAAGAGGTTTCAGTAAAACACTGAGAAACCTTTATTAGTGCGTCCTTCAGCTCTTTTATAAGAAGATATTTATTTACAGTTTTGAAGAGTCTCACTGTAAAGAACGGCTCATCAGTTCAACCTACAAATTTACTTCATGTGGAAACGAGCAATTTAACTGTTTTCACTGAAATAAACACTTTGAAGAAGATGCTGCAGTTTTGAAGCTGCACGTTCAGTTTATCTTCATCTTTTCATAAATGTTTTTTTGAGAAAAAGAAAATGAATTGGACTGTACAGTTGTTCCATTTAAAAAGACATGAATATATCAATGGGTGTTTCAGTTTCACTCTCTCTTTCTGTAATTGCACTATATGGACAACGGTGTTCAGACACACCTCTTATTCGTGGAATGCAGTCCTATTGCCAAAGAGGTATAAAATCAAGCACCTAGACATACAGTCTGTCTTTACAAACACGTGTGAAAGAATAGGTTGTTCTAAAGAGCTCACTGAATTTGAACATGGTACTGTAATAGGATGCCACCGTTGCAACAAGACACATAACTCCCAGTCTGAAAACAAGTCCTGCTCTGAGCCTGTACATTATGGATGCTCAGTTTCATGGATATGTACCTCTAAACTCTCAATAAAAATATATGCTTTTCATAAAAACGAATAAGAAATGATGTTTAAATAAATATTTAACTTATTACTTTCACGCACATTTGGGAGCTTTTACTTTTATACTTATATTAATACTTGAGTAAAGAATGTATTTCAAACTTCAACTTTTACTCAAGTATTTTTTACTAAATTATTAGTACATTTTTAAGTAAGGGAATTGTGTACTTCTGCCACTTCTGCATCTGATGCAGGCAATGAAGGTTTTCAGGGGTATCTGAGTATATGAAGCCATGTGTGTTGGATCTAAGCTCTTCAGTGTGGTAGATCTCCAGGATCAGGATAGGGAGCCTCTGGGTTATACCAACAATTCCTTGTTTTATTTATAGCTTTCAACTGAAGTTGAAAATCGGTTTATGTATTATTTATTGCAATTTCTGAAAAATGCCACAAACAACAGTAACTTAATTCATTGCCTTCATTCATTTACATACGAAAAAAGCAAATAAAAGAAGAGTTGTGGTGTGAGGCCAAAGTGCTGTGTGAGTTTCTTCTGTGTATAAAAAGTGCTGTGATTTTCACATGATTCATCAATTAAACTTGAAGCTAACCCTAACCCTAGATACTCTAGACTTTGATTCTGGGTCATTGATTTACTTAAAAGAAGTTGGTAAACAGTATAAGAATACTGTATAACTGACCTAGAACAGAAATGTTCCACTTTTCATTTACTTACTCTTTAAAAAAACCTTTAGTTGCCCTCTGAAATATAAAATTTCAAAAGACAGAGAAAAAAAGAACCTCATTTATGATGTTTAACAGGTGTGATGATCAGTGGGGCTGAGTTTTTACCTCCATAACTGAGGTAAGGGCTGAAGAAAGGATAGAGTTTCTCAGTGAAAGACTGACCAGTGAAAGAGTAGATATGAGAGCTGGCCTCAACATCATAGAAGGAGACCAGACCCTCCTCATAATCCACAAACACCCCCACCTTCTGGGGAGCTTGTTTCAAGGAGAGGGGGGCAGAAGGAAAATCCAGAGCCTCATATTTAGATTCATTCCTCAGCCACACAGTCCAGTATCCATCCTCAGGACAGGCTATAATCTCTCCCTTCTTGTTAATGGACTCTCTGACCACTCCTAGATCCCAGTCAGTCTTCCCGCTGACCTGAACCTCATAGTAAAATCTCCCTGAGGAGAACCCCTCCTTTCCCAGCACACAGGCACAACGATCAAATCTCTTTGGGTTTTCAGGGAGATTCTGTTTTGTGTCTCCACATGTAACTTGTTTCCCATCATCAGACAAAATTAGGTTAGGATGAGCTGAATCAGGATCCAGAGTCACATCCACTGAGAGAAAAACACACAACTTAAACACATTTTAACAACATGCAGAATAGAATAGAGCAGACCTGTATATTTTAATCATATACTTCACTCACCTGCATGTTGCTGAATTCTCTTCATATCTGTTTGGAAAAGAGTGATGCATAATATCATTTGTCTTAAATGATAAACTTTGCAGAATTAAATGCCTGTTTTTATGAACCACAAACTAACAATTTAATAATAACTCCAAATGTCACAGTGTAGTGATGAGGGTAGATGGGAGTTTTAAATAAAGAATAATCCAGAATTAAGTATCTAAATGTCGCATGTATCAAACATTCATTTCTGGTATCAGCATCTTGATGACTTTGTGAAATCGAATCCCCCAACATACAAATTCTACAGATTATTTAATACTTACTGATCTCAGGAATCTTCTCCATCTCCTTACTGAGCTCTTCCTGAAGCCGAGTCAGAGCTCTCCTCAGAGTCTCCACCCTCAGATGAGTGTTAATCCTGACGTCAGTCCAGTTCTTGGTGTGTGGGGGGCTGCAGAGGGACGGGTAAACCTACAGTCCAGCAGGAGAGAGGAGAAACCCCTCAGCATGGGGAGTGCTGTCCTGTGATGGACTGCATTACTATTGAGAAACAGAAAAACTCTTGAGAAAACTCTGACCTGTAGGAGGAGGAGGTGGTCCTCAGTGTGGGAGAGCTGCTCCAGCTCAGTGTCTCTCCTCTTTAGCTCAGTGATTTCCTGCTCCAGCTCTTTAATGAACTCTTCAGCCTGCCTCTCTGCTGCTTTCTGCTTCTCCTCCATCACCTCAAGCAGCTCCGCCTGGCTTCTCATAATGCAGTGCACCAGAGCTCTGAAGACCTCCACACTGTCTGCTTTCTCCTTCTCTGTGCTTTTCTAACAGGGAATAAATCAGGAGACAATTATTTATTTTCAATTACAATTAATTGTTGTAAATGCTTCTTGGTTTAGACACATTGTTCAAGGAAAAAAGTTTTAATTTGTTTCCATGTCTTACGTATATATTAAAAAAGTATTGTTGACATTGTCAAATATCTTGATTTAAGTTGCTCACACTGCACTGAGCAGATGTTTGTCTGAGAAAAGTATCATTTAAGTTCATAAAGAGCTCACAAGCTATTAGTGAGCTACTGATAGAAATATTACCATTAGCTGGCAGGAAAATTACTGAGCTAATTAATGTTATGCTAGCTAATATTGATACCCTGCATTTTTTATGTTGCTCAGTTTATAAAAAACTTCCAAATTTGGTCACTGTTTAATCTTGTTATTCCTCCACATCCATTACATTAAATTTACACTATATTGCCAAAAGTATTCGCTCGTCTGCCTTCACACGCACATGAACTTGAGTGACATCCCATTCTTAATCCATAGGGTTTAATATGATGTCGGCCCACCCTTTGCAGCTATACTAGCTTCAGCTCTTCTGGGAAGGCTTTCCACAAGGTTTAGGAGTGTTTATGGGAATTGTTGACCGTTCTTCCAGAAGCGCATTTGTGAGGTCAGACACTGATGTTGGGCGAGAAGGCCTGGCTCACAGTCTCCGCTCTAAATCATCCCAAAGGTGTTCTGTCGGGTTGAGGTCAGGACTCTGTGCAGGCCAGTCAAGGTCCTCCACACCAAACTCGCTCATCCATGTCTTTATGGACCTTGCTTTGTGAACTGGTGCGCAGTCATGTTGGAACAGGAAGGGGCCAAACTCCCCAAACTGTTCCCACAAAGTTGAGAGCATGAAATTGTCCAAAATCTCTTGGTCTGCTGAAGCATTAAGAGTTCCTTTCACTGGAGCTAAGGGGCCGAGCCCACCTCTTGAAAAACAACCCCACACCATAATCCCCCTCCACCAAACTTTACACTTGGCACAATGCCAAGCGTCCTAGCATCCAGTTCAGTCCAGTGGCGGCGCTTTACACCACTGCATTCAACGCTTTGCATTGCGCTTGGTGATGTAAGGCTTGGATGCAGCTGCTCGTCCATGGAAACCCATTCCATGAAGCTCTCTACACTGTTCTTGAGCTAATCTGAAGGCCACATGAAGTTTGGAGGTCTGTAGCACCTCTGCACACTATGTGCCTCAGCATCCGCTGACCCCGCTCTGTCATTTTATGTGGTGGATGATGAGTTGCTGTCGTTCCCAATCGCTTCCACTTTGTTATAATACCACTGACAGTTGACTGTGGAATATTTAGTAGTGAGGAAATTTCATGACTGGACTTCTTGCACAGGTCGCATCCTATCATGGTACCACGCTGGAATTCACTGAGCTCCTGAGAGCGACACATTCTTTCACAAAGGTTTGTAGAAGCAGTCTGCAGGCCTGGGTGCTTGGCCTTATACACCTGTGGCCATGGAAGTGATTGGAACACCTGAATTCAATGATTTGGATGGGAGACCGAATACTTTTGGAAGCATAGTGTATGTCTAGTCTCAACACAAAGCTATTAAAGAATCACCAGAATCTTAAGAACCTCTTAGTTTTGGATCTTTCTTTGGGGCAACGAGGAAGAATGGGTTTTTAAAAGAAACACCTATTTAAAGGTTCTTTGGGGAACCAAAACAGATCCTTCTGTGTAATTTCTGAAAGGACACTTCTGGTTCCACATGGGACCTTTATTTTGAAGAGTGCATTAATGTTCCTCATGTATAAATATAAAATAGCAGTAGTGCAATTGTAAAACTACAGATGCTAAAAAGAATTTTTGCACACTCCCATAGAAGAGCCAGTTTTGGGCTAGTAAAAAACTTTAGTGAATGGTTCTGTACAGAAACAGAGTTAAAGAATCTCAACATAACGTAAAGGTTCTAGAAAGAACCCTTATATTGTTATGAAACATAACAATATAACAGAATGTTCTTCAAATCTTTATTGAGATTCAGTTGAGACTCACTCTACTGAGCTCTACAGAGTGTGTGATTTCCTCAACCTTCTTCAGTCGGTCCTGGATCTTCTGCTGAACTTCTCTCTGTATCTTCACCAGCCGAGTCTATTATAAAGACACACATTACACCCACATTACTCACATATGAGGAATTATATTAAGCAAGAACAGGACTAAATGTCTCTCACCTTCCTCTCTCCACTCTCCTCCTCTATAGGAACAGTGCTGTGAGTCTTGTGGTCTGTCTCAGTGCAGAACTGACACACACTCGTCTGGTCGTCTCTACAGAACAGCTCCAGGGG